CATTCTTTTTTTTTTTTTGAGACAGAGCCTCAAGCTATCCCCCTGGGTAGAGTGCCATGGCATCACGCTCACAGCAACCTCCAACTCCTGGGCTCAAGCGAGTCTCCTGCCTCAGCCTCCCAAGTAGCTGGGAACACAGGTGCCCGCCACAACTCCCAGCTATTTTTTGGTTGCAGCCATTATTGTTGTTTGGCTGGCCAGGCTGGATTCGAACCCGCCACCTTAGGTGTATGTGGCTGGCACCTTAGCCGCTTGAGCCACAGGCGCCGAGCCATGACATCATTCTAATTGTAACTTATGGAGCTACTACTGACCCACACAATGTACAATGAAGACAATGAGGATTGTGCTAGTCATGCTTTTTCATCTTTTTTTTTTGAGACAGAGCCTCAAGCTGAGCTCCTGGGTAGAGTGTCATGGCTTCACTGCTCACAGCAACCTTCAACTCCTGGGCTCAAGCGAGTCTCCTGCCTCAGCCTCCCAAGTAGCTGGGAACACAGGTGCCCGCCACAACTCCCAGCTATTTTTTGGTTGCAGCCATTATTGTTGTTTGGCTGGCCAGGCTGGATTCGAACCCGCCACCTTAGGTGTATGTGGCTGGCACCTTAGCCGCTTGAGCCACAGGCGCCAAGCCCTTTTTCATCTTTCATAAAATACAGCCCTAAAAGGGTTTTCTTATTTTTTTATTTTGAGATGTAGTCTCTCTTTGTCATCCAAGCTGGAATACAGTGGCACAATAGCTTACTGCTGCCTCAAACACCTGGGATCAAGCAATTCTTCTCTCTCAACCTCCCAAGTAGATAGAACTATAGGTGTGTGCCACCATGTCCAGTTAATATTTTTATTTTTATTTTTTGTAGAGACAGTGTCTTGCTACATTGTCCAGACTGGACTCAAACTCTGGGCATTAAGCTATTCTCCTGCCTCAACTTCCCAGAGAGCTGGTATTACAGGTATGAGCTACCATCCTGGTCCTAAAAATGTTTGTTACTTATCTAGGGCCAAAGTTCAGAACTAAATGAAGATCAGTATAAAGACAGCAAATAACTAAAGTCTATTTTTAAGGATGACCAGAGTGTTCAAAACTACAAAACTGAATTTTTTAAAGGAATTAAATAAGCTACATAAATCCACATTCCTCACTGTAAAGTCATCCATGAATCAATCTTAACTTTGCTATCTAGGACAACTACAAGTCCATAAGTTACCTGAATAATTTATAACTCCCACACCAGAGGTCAAATACTTCTCTTTTTTTGCAGTTTTTGGCCGGGGTGGGTTTGAACCTGCCTCCTCCAGCATATGGGGCTGGCGCTCTACTCCTTTGAGCCACAGGTGCCACCCTTTTTTTTTTTTTTTTTTTGAGACAGTCTCACTATGTCACCCTTAGTAGAGTGCCATGGTGTCATAGCTCACAGCAACCTCAAACTCTTGGGCTTAAGCACTTAAGTGATTCTCTTGCCTCAGCCTCCCAAGTAGCTGGGACTACAGGCACCTCCTACAATGCCTGGCTATTTTTTGGTTGCAGTTGTCATTGTTGTTTTGCAGGCCCAGGCAGAGCTCGAACCCGCCAGCTTCAGTGTATGTGGCTGATGGCCTACTCACTGAGCTATGGGCACCAAGCCCAAATACTCCCTGTTATTGCCACTAATATATTTTTTATTTAACCTGACCTTTAAAGCTCTATAACCACCTGTACTTTGTAATCAAAGATAAAAACTAACCATTACCTGGCCAGGTACGGTGGCTCACACCTGTAATCCTAGCACTCTGAAAGTCTGAGGCAGGAAGATTGCTTCAGCTCAGGAGTTCAAGATCAACTTGAGCAAGAATAAGACCCCCATCTCTAAAACTAGCTGGGCATTGGGGAGGGTGCCTATAGTTCCAGCTACTCCAGAGGCTGAGGTACGAGAATTGCTTGAGTCCAAGAGTTGGAGGTTGCTGTGAGCTATGACACCATGCTACTCTACTGAGGGTGACAAAGTAAAATTATGTCTCAAGGCTTGACGCCTGTGGCTCAAGTGGCTAAGGCATCAGCCATACACCTAAGGTGGCGGGTTCGAATCCAGCCCAGGCCCGCCAAACAAAATGATGGCAGCAACAAAAAAAATAGCCAGAAATAGCCAGGCATTGTGGTGGGCGCCTGTGGTCCCAGCTACTTGGGAGGCGGAGGCAGGAGGCTTGCTTGAGCCCAGGAGTTGGAGGTTGCTGCAAGCTGTGATGCCATAGCACTCTACCCAGGGAGACAGCTTGAGGCTCTGTCTCAAAAGAATAAATAAATAAATAGAAAAATTAGTCTGGCATTGTGGCTGCTACCTGTAGTCCCAGACATTCAGGCACCTAAAATAGGAAGATAGCTTGAACCTAGAAGTTTGAAGCTGCTATGAGCTAGGCTGACACCACAGCACTATAGTCTGGGCAACAGAGTGAGATTCTGTCCAAAAAAAATTAATCATCATCTATCTATAGTTATAGTTAGCTATTCAATCAGGAATTGACAAACTTTCCCATAAAGGGTCAAACAGTAAACATCTTAGGCTTGAAGGTCATATGGTCTCTGTTATAAGGACTAAACTCTGCCACAGTAGCAGAAGAAAAGCCATAAAAAATACATTAACAGGGTGCAGCTGTGTTCCATTAAAACTTTATTTATGGCTTGGCGCCTATAGCTCAAGCGGCTAGGGCTCC